TTCTGTCTATTCCAATAACTTTCTGCATTTTGTTTCTGCTGATCACTGAGCCTGAATTTGAGATTCAGTTAGCTGGAATTAGTAGCTACGATCAGTTTGATCAATGACTTTCTGGTGATTTCTTCATGTGAAATCTATACCCGAACAAATGGCCAAGGAAGAAATATTTATTTATGTTGTTCTTTTTTGTGTTTGAGGAATTCATGGCTAACTCCCAGTCCCTTTCTGCAGATGTCACCAGATTGGTAAAAAATTGTCTGGAGCAAACTGCAATACCTGCTGCAGTTCCTTAAGTTTGGCAACATGCCTTGATTGCAGTATGATCCTCTGTGACAAGTAAGCACAAAGTATCTTATTGTTTGGATGTTATAAGATTTAATTCAGAGTGTTGTGCATTATCCAATGATTTCTACGTTACTTGATTCACAGCTCTAATCTTTTTCTCTCTTGTTTACACTATTGTATGACTGAACTCATATCATATTATTATATTTTCTCTCTCTCATCCATTCTTTTTATGTTTAACCCTTGGGTTTTCCTCATTTTATCTCTCGCATTTGCAAATCTTCTACAGTCTCTTGCAAATTGTTTGTAGCTCAATTACTTTGGCTTACATTTAGATGTGTCATGCATTCCTTAGTAGTCAATGAGTGAAAATTGGGAAAGGTGGTTGCAGTCTTTGAAATGAAGTAGAGGAGATGTTGCTTCTTTGTTTGTGTTGAGTCTAAAGGGTGAGAGCTGAAGTGCTTGGTTGAAACATACTCCTTAGGAGCACTGGTAGCATGGATGCCATGCTTTATGATGCTTGGTTGATTCTTTGCTTTGGTTGGCAAAATAAATTTGTTTGATTTTACTTCCTGAGCCTTGCTTATAAATATCTGTATTTCAGTGCAGGCCATTTACATGAGCATATAAGGGCCCAACCATCCCATCAGCAATATTACTCTCATAAACTCAAGCGTTTGGTAATTTATTTTCAATGTTTCGGCATAATTTACAGTATATGGTCTGTCCAATTTGGCTTGCCTTTCCCAATAAGTGAGCCATCAATGAATTTTCTATGTGCAATAAATGTGTGTTCGACAAGCGTATGCATGGTTGTGTAGTGGGAAAAAACTGCTGATAATTTGCTTAACAATGTCATTTAACTGATGCAGGTCAAATGCTGCAAATCAACATGCAAGGTGACTAGCATTAGTGATCTTTTGGTTTGCCACCACTGTTTTGATAAAGCCTTCAACAAGTTCTATGATATGTATACTGCAACTTGGTATGTGTCTGTATTCGGAATTGTTTCAGATTCTTTATTATCCATGTTAACATCTTCTGGGCCTACTTTCTTCGAGGGCTGAAAGGTTCTAAGTTACTTTTCTTGGACATGTAAGAAGAGAGGATTCTCTGAATACGAAAGTAAAATTTAGATTTGTGTTTAGTTTTTGTGGCGCTTCCTTGAAAGTGTCCAGGGTCAAAGTCCGCATTGTTTTATGTTTGTAGATTAAACCAGTACTTGTATTTGCGGATTGCAGGAAAGGAACTGGACTTTCCATTATCTCTGGCTCTATTTGCTGTGAAGATCACTTTGAATGGTGAGTCCAGTCACATTATCTGATATTAATTTTGTTCCATGTACGTCTCATCCACCTGCTGACATCACTCGTTGCTTTTATCACTGCAGGCATAGGATGAATTGCTTGAGTGCAGGTGTAGAGGACAGAGCATATATCATTGATAAGAATGCCAATAAGAAGTGTGTTCAACTTAGTGACTTCATTTTCTGATCTAATGGGGTCGTGGAGCAAATGCGTTGCTACCTCACTCCCTTTTGATCAGACACCGATGCTGAATTCTGTTTGAATTTGCAGCATAAGAAACCATGCAAATCAAATTCGAGGCATGCAAGGATGTCAGGCAAAAAGGTTGTTTCACTTTAAGATTGCTTATTTTATGGGCAGGCATGCAGTGACATTAGTGTGATAAAAATGGGAAAAGAGATTTAAATGTTCAAAGTGTTAATTTATTTTTTAGGGCTTGGCTGCCGCACCAGTCAATGCTTGCAGGAGCGGAGTCTTGAAAGATCATCTATATGCTGAATGTCGTGTATTCTTGTGGCATTAACCATGCCTATATGTAACTAGAGAAAGCTTTGTTTGAGCAGATGTAAATTGCTAGGGTATTTTTCAAAAATATAGCAAGTCTGCCCCAATCCCATTTTCCCTTTTCGTGCGAGATGATGCAACAATTTACTTTTTAGCTGCTTCGTCTTTTGTCCGACCGGGTGCCTACTGATCTTTAATAGGATCGCATCTTCCCGCCTGCTTGCTTCTCCACTTTGATCAGTCCTTCTTGATCCAAAATGAGGAAATCCACATGAAAAAAAAAGAAAAAAGACAGAAAAAATGGAGTCGATTCCTGGGGATATTGGAAAGAGGTCGCTACGCAAGCCCAGTTGTCTACTTTTTTCTCCCCACAGTTATCACGGCTTTCCCTTCAAAATCATCATTCTTCATCTCACCCTGTGAGATTCCAATCAAATCTTTGTAGATAAAGCGTGCAGCCTTCAGTTGATTACGATTCCCAAATCAAACCACTCACTTGGAAAGTTTTGTCGTGCTCATCTAAATTCAAGTTCATTATCATATGATTTGCCCAGCACTGGAAGTTCAAATGCTTCTTTCTTATTGTTACTTCTTAATTAATAGTTAATGCATGAAGCACTACTGCTAGAGACGGAGCAACACAAGTCCTTTGCCTTGGGGCACTTTAAATTTAGCTTTAGCTAACCAAAATGGTTCTAATTTGCTTCAAGGGAAATTGAATTGGGTAAGCTGAGATTTTATTCACATCTGAAATTAACTTTAAGTTTAACCCTAATTCATTCAATTTTTTGCTTTCTGATCTTATAATTTTTAATGAATTTCTTTTTTCAATCCACAATCAAAAATTGATAAATAAAAAAATCATGTCCCTTTCAGATTTTCTATTCCATTAATGATCTAGAGTTTGAAAGTTACTTCTTTCTCGGATTTAATCTCATTGTTGATAGCAATGTGCTGGATCATAATTATTAAATTCGTTCACTAGTTAGCTTAGAATAACTTGAGTTTATTGTGCTTGAGTTAATTGTCCAGTGATATGTGTTGCAGTGCCAAATGCATAGCGTACATTGGAATGTTTTATCTAGTATATAAACTAGAGAAGATATTAGGTAAAGAGTAAGAAAATAGAGAGTGAAAGAGTAAAGTGTGTTGAAGAAGACATCACACATGAATGAAGAAGATGTACAAAGAAGTTAGCTCCAATTGGGGTTCAGTCCAACCTCCAATATTCAAAGGAAACAACTATAAAGAATTTACTTACCTCTCTTGACTCGTGGGAGATGGTGGAGGTAGCATTTGAATAACTCAAAATGTTGACAATCTTTCTGTAACACAACTTAAAGATTTGAAAATAAAAGGGAAAAGAGATTTTGGAGCTCTTGGTTTGATTCAAAGAAGAGTTGATTATCCTATTTTAGCCAGACTTTGCAGAGTGAATATGAAGGTGATGTGAAGGCAAGAGCTATTATCTTTATACAAAGTATTAGAAAAGAGTTAGAAAATATGAAAATGAAGGAAATGAAGTGGTTGATGAATTTTCTAATAGGATCATTAAGGCTGTGAATTAAATGAAAAGTTATGGTAAGGAGACTAGTGATAGAAAAGTCATAGAAAAAATATTGATTAACCTTATGAGAAGTTTGATCCTATTGTGGCGGATATAAAATAAATAAAAGGTTTGTCTAGGTTAAGTGTTCAAGAGTAGATGGGTTCTTTAGAATCTTGTGAGAAAAAATTAGTGATGAGAGTTAAAAGTTAGTAGAGAGTGCTTTTCAATTGCATTCATCGGATGGTAGGTATGCTAGGCTATTTTATTGGTATATTGCTGCTGGATAGATCATTTTTCTCCCAAGAATTCATATGTTCCACATGATATTTCTGATTATTTTAGATAACAGCAGCTTCTGTTGGATGGCTCCAAGCCTGCTGAATAGAAATTGTAGATGATATTGACAAGTTTGTTTCTGATTGGAAGCACATTATGGCAAACTGTCTTTGAATATGTTGACTGCTGGTTCAAAATAACGTCGGTATGCGTGCCACCCCAACCATGGAAGTATTACATTCAACTGGATTTCAGATTTTCCTCTGAATTCTTCTCTGCAATTATCCAGCTTCGTGAAAGGTTATGGGGAGTTTCATTTTGACTTTTGTTAGGTGTAGCTTCTAAGCATCGGCATATGGTAATCTGCGGGTGCAGTGACATTGATCGGATGCGTGCATTTGAGTGGTTGAATTGGAGACTCAGTCAGCTGGCCTCTTCAAACCCCTGATAGTGACCCTGGCACATGAACAATAATAGTGATAGATTGTTTAGGTAAATTCTGTAACTGTTTATCCAAGTAAGCTGGTTAGATTTTTCAGGTAAATTCTTTAATTGTTTATCCAAGTAAGCTGGTCCAGTCTCTCACGTCCGTGGTTGCTAGCCAACAAGTAACACATGGCCGTCATGGAGCACCTCGGAGGTGTCGATAAAGTTATTGTTTATGACTTCCAAAGTATCAATTCGTCCATGCTTGTTTTGCTACATGTTGGATCAACCAATTTTTCTAATCCAATCACTGATTCAGATAAGGAAGGAATGATAAGAACATGAAGCCCACAAAGCTTTGAGCGTTGAGTATTGGTGGCCTTAACGTGCCAAATATGCCGAAGCCATCCAATTTCAACCAAAGATTTGGAAGGAGTGCCAGTTTCAATAACGAGCAGTTAACGTGATGATTAGAACAAAAATATACTATTATTCAAACTACTTAATGGATGGTGACATGCATCAAGTTGAGTTTCTATGCATAATTTAATTTTTGCTTAATGTCTCTCCTGTAAAGGCAGAGTTAATTATAATAAATAGAGTATTCTCAGGATTGAATGCACAAACTAATTGCTAATTGATTATATATGCAGCTGACAATGTCCATCATGGAAGGCTAGCTCTTAAATTTCAGAGAGATATCGAAGGCAGGAAGAGCTTTCGCCAATGGTGACATTAACAAATAAATCTCTCATGTATTTCGAGGATTTGACGCTTCCCACTGTAAGTTAATCCAATTAATATCCTTTTTTCTGCCCTTCATTTTCCCTTTCATATTTCTTTTTCCTTGCATGATAATTAAGCTCGTTCACAAATAACTTCGTCGTATAATTAGTTTTTTCTTTTTTGAAAAAAAAAAAGTAATGAGGAGGGGAGAGGGGTATTTTAGTTTTTTCTTTTTTGAAAAAAAAAAAAAGTAATGAGGAAGGGAGAGGGGTATTATATATTGCTTTCACTTGCAATGTCTTCCCGCTCGTTTTTTCTCCAGGTTCAGGTTATAGTAATGACAGGAAGCATGAGATGTTCTCGATGTCGTCAAAGAGTTTCCCAAGTTATTTCCAGGATGTCTGGTTCGTTATAGAATCCTTTCATTATTATATATATAGTTGAAATCACACTGTTAATCTTACTCTCTGCATAGCAGGGTTGAAAGAGTACACAGTAGATGTGCACAACAAACAAATAATTATGAAGGGAGATATTGGAAAGCAGTGGAAGAAAGAGGATGATCATTCCAATGACGAAATGAACAATAAGCGTTGTCAGAGATTAAAACTGTTTTTGAGATCTTTCGTGGCGACTTGCTTTGGTAATTATATGGCTAATTAAGACAACCTATGAATTAATATAGCAACTTTTGCCGTTAAAAGTAATTGATTAGTGCTATTTGTCATGTGATTTTTGTTTATTTTTGGTCCATATTCTTATCAATATAGCGACTCTGTGAAAATTAAGCACCTTGAATTCCACATTCTATCAAAACAACCATATACATGCCAAGATTGGCTTTGAATTATGATGGAAAAATGATAAAGGCCATGCGTCTTGCCCAAGCCATGATCGGATCCCTGTACCATACGTCGAGTACTTAATTTGGGATCTAATGTTTATGCGTATAAGACCTCTCTGCGTTGCTATTTATCATCTCCCTTACCCAACCATGCTCGAGTGTTTTGGGATGCAATCTCTATGCCTGTTAGATCTTTCCATTAATTGTTGGCAACAAAATCTGGTTTTTTCTTGGGCTGCGATGATTATTCCTCCTTAACATTCTTGGCTAAGGATTAATCGAATTTAATAAGTTTCGGTGAAGAGATAATGGATCGGTGGTGTTCAAACCATCTAACTTCAGCTCGTTTGTCAGACTCAATCTCAGCAAATCATGTAGAAGCATCCTTTAAGGAAGATCTTGAGCCACGAGCTAAAAAAGGAACCAACTCATTCCTCGCGGCCAAATATAACCAACTCTTTGTTTCTTTTGAGAGCTTCCTTCACCTCGTTGTCCTTCTCTTGGAGCTTTCGGATTTCATCTTCAGTAGTTGCCAACTCATTTGATGAGGCGATATGAGCCCTCTCTTGATTATAAACTTTACACAAGGACTCGTGAATTGGCTGCTCAATCTGGGGGTTCTCAGCTAGCTGCTTGTTCAACAAATCCTTCCTTCTTGATAGCGAGCACTTCAATCTATTCATTTCGCCTTTCCACAACGTCCACAAGGTCAGACTTTGGGTCTTGGACTATGTTTAGTAAGAACTCGTCATTGAGTGGGGTGCTCAAGTGGCTTTGTGCTTCCATCATAAATCTTCTTGCCACATCAAAATTATCAACCGGAAACAAGAACACAGGAATTTGTTAGAAGAACTTGGCTTTCAACCATAAGTGAGTGGTTTCGAAATTAGCCACTTTGACTTTAAATGTAGGCGAACTCGTGCCAACCATTGGCCTGAAGAAGGATGCAACATGAACCTCTCTCTTCAATAACGAAATAAGTCGCTTGGGAGTTTCCATAGCTTTCTCACTGGTCATTCGTGTTTCAACATTAAGCTCATTGGCTGCAACTTCGCTGATAGGAACTACCTTACTAGGAGCAACTGGTAAAGTTATTGATGTTTGATTAATAGCAGAAAGTTCTTCCTGTGCACAGGGAGAGACATGCAATTCAATGCCACACCTATCCATCTTCCCAAGTTTGGTTTCATAATGTAAATCTTACTCAACTATATATCTCCATAGATGGTTGTGAGCCATCATTTCCTCAGGGTAAATGTCTCCTTGATCTTGATATCCCAAGTTCAACTGATATAAACGAGGATCAAAAACTCTAGGCTCAAATGGAGTAAAGGATGGTATAGTTTTTGTTAATGTTAATGTTCTAGAAAGTTGGTTTATTAGAGTTAGATTAAAGTTAACTTGAGTTCAATGTTTGTTAATATAAGTGTATTGTTTTGTCTAAAGTGATAGGGCACATGTAACTGAGTTTATTATAAGAGAAATGGATTAAAAAGGTAAAAAAATAGAGAAAAAAAAACCAGCAGCAGCAAAGTGAGTGAACTCTCTTCCATTTTAATCCTTTTTTTATGTGAGTTTTGTACTAAAAAATTACAGAATTTGTGTGATATATTCAAGTGTGTTTTATGAGTGTTATTAGCTATAGAAACCAATTAAAATTCATCCCAACATATTGGCATGAGAGCAGAAATTAAAAAAAAAGCTTTGTCCAAGTTAAAAAAAAAAAGAAGAAAGAATTGGCATGAGAGCAGAAATTAAAAAAAATGCTTTGTCCAAGTTAAAAAAAAAAAAAAAAAAAATGTCCAAAGAAAGTAGCTCAAGTTGGAGTTAAGTCCAACCTTCAATATTCAAATGAGATAACTATGAGTTTTGGAGTATAAAGATAAAGCATTTATTCATCTCTGAGATGATGAAGGTAACATATGAAGAACCCAAAAATATTGACAATCTTTCGTTAGCACAACTTAAAGATTTGAAAGCAAAGAGTAGAGAGGCTGCAACTCTTGGGTTGATTCAAAGAGGAGTTGATGATGCTATTTTCCCGAGGATTATAAGAATCACAGATGCAAAGCAAGCATGGAAAACTTTGCAAAGTGAATATGAAGGTGATGTGAATGTAAGAGTTATTAACTTACAAAGTCTTCGAAGAGAGTCAAAGAATATAAAAATGAAGGAAAATGATGTTGTTGATGAGTTTTTTAATAGGATTGTTAAGGTTATGAATCAAATAAAAAGTTATGGTAAGGAAATTAGTGACAGAAGATTTGTAGAGAAAACATTGATTAGCTTTCTAGAGAAGTTTGATCCTATTATGACGGTTGTAGAAGAAACTAAAAACTTGTTTAATTTGAGTATTCATGAGTTAATGAGTTCTTTGAAGTTTTATTAGAAGAGATCAATGAAGAGTAAAAAAATCAATAGAGAGTGATTTTCAATGAAGGCATACTCTTGGTAAATAAAGCAAAAAAAAAGCATCTACAAGTAATGAGAAAATAAGTGTTGAATCCTTTTGATATGGAGGATACATTAGAGGTAAAAGTAAAGGAATGGGTAAAAATCAATGGGGAAGAAGAGGAATGAATTTGGGCAGTAACTACGGTGATTTAAAAGGTGTTATTCTTGCGTAGATTAGATCCTAAGTCTAGAAATTATTGATATAAAAAAGAGATAATATTTTAATTATAAGGGATATGATCACTTAGCTAAAGATTATGGTATTATGATGTGAGGAATAATCAACAAGCAAAATGTTACCAAAGATAACGAAAGTGATTGAAGCATGGTTTATGCTAGTCAAAGTAGCATGGAAAACAAAAATGGGCAATGACTTATTGATAGTGCTTATAACAATTATATGACACCAAAAAAAAAAAAACTTGTTAGATGATATTGATACAAAAAGGAAAACTACAAAAAAAAAAAAAAAACTTGTTCGATGATATTGATACAAAAAGGAAAACTAGAGTAGAGATTGAGAATGGAAAGTTTATGAGTGCAGGTGACTTCGGTACCATTAGAGTTGAAACTAAGAAGATTGAGAATGGAAAGTTTATGAGTGCAAGTGACCATTAGAGTTGAAACTAACAATGAAAAAGAGGTCATTCGTAAGGCAATAAATGTACCATGAGCTTGCCAAAATTTGTTGAGTGTAAGACAACTTATAAAGCATGGATATTTGATTGCATTTTTAATGTCAATATTGATATTTCATTGCATTCTTAAGGTTAATATTGCACCATTTATGTAAAACTCCAAGGAAGCAAGTTATGAGAAGAGTGAAGATAGTGAATAGGTGATTTCCACTTGACTTAAAGTGTGGAAAAGATATAGTTTTGAAAATGAATGTGGTTGACGATTCAAGATTATAGCACAGAAAACTCGATTATTTGAATTTTAATAATATAAAATTACTTTACCAAAAAACCATGGTTCAAAGACATTTATTCCTTTAATAGATGAGAAATGCTTATGAAGAATGTGCTCTTGGAAAACATTATTGACAATTATTTTCAAGAGGAATAGCTTGGAGAGTCAATAATGTAATTGAATTGATATAACACCGATATTTATGTCTGATGTCCACTTCATTTTATTATTAAAATAGATAGTTTATAATATTTATTGATGATTATAGATAGTATAATAACATGGGTATATTTTATGAGGCAAAAACTTGAAGTTGCTGCTTTTTTAAGAAATGCAAATGTTTTTTAATATGGAAGTATTGAGAAGTGATAGGGGAAAAAGTACACTTCAAGATACTTTTACAAGTTTTATGAAATGAGAAGGTGAGAAGAATATTACTTAATAAGGTGGAGTATGAGAAGAATATTTTATTTTTAAGAGTTTTTGAGATTACTTTAAAAAAAATTTAATATCTGAGTTATTATAGAAAATACCAAGTGAGTAACAATCATGTGTGTGTAAATGTCTCGAAAATCTGTCCTCCACTTTTACCCCCAGTTGATGAATCCATACCAAAATGAACATCTCCTTCAACGATAGCTCTGTGCACCTCTTCTAACCCCAAACGCCAGATGCTGCTACCACATATCAACCTGTTAACTACCGTGCAAAACCACCTGATCTCACTTGGATTAATTCAATGGAGGTAATTTTCACGTTTAAGAAAAACTAGACAATAGACTCAACGAAGAGAAAGACATTCACTTTCATAGGTTTTATGTGGATGCCATTTGCGAAGAAATGGCTCTTTCAAGTTTGAACAACTTTCAGCAATTAAATTGCACCGTAACAGTAAAAGGAGGATTTACAAAATAGCTCTTGCTAAACCAGAAAATAAAGATGAAAATAAATCTAACCATTTCCCTTCTTTTAAGATTCTTCCTCTATGCAGATGGATAGAATAACTAATTCTTCCTCTATGCAAATGGATAGAATAACTACATACATTGGATCTTTTCCCTAAGAGCCAACAATGTCAGGTGCGCTGTGAGAGAGAGAACTCTACTTCTTGAATTCTATTTGTTGATCTTGTGCAAATACATCTCATGTCCACCAGAGAATGTTAGCCCACTGTTCGGGTCAATAAAAAAAAAAGAGACAGATTTTAGCAACAAACTTTGTCCAAGCATTAAGCAGGGTGCAATTTCTAAATGTAGGAGAAATATCCAAAGTTTGGATGATAGTTTAAGGGCTTTTCCTGATCATGAAATCGTTCCGTTGGGAATTTGAGTCAGTGAGAAAAGATGAAGTAATACATAAATTACCCTAGTTGGAGAACTACATAGCAGTGTAGCATCTAACGAGATAGATGTTTCTGATGCAAATGTTTAGTTGCCAAGCCATGCAACTGAGAGGATCCCAGATTTGATGAGTCCTGAAATAGGAGTCAAGTCACCATGTAAGTAACCAATGGAAGCAACCATACCAGAT